GTGTGAATGAATAAGTCAAGCAAAGGCCCTGAATATCCGACAGAATATGTAGAATGCAGATACCAAACCAAACTGTAAAGTGCAGAATTGAAAAACTCAACCCTTGTGCACAAAACAAAGATAACATCTGGATGTTGGGGAAATAGGAATGTGCAGGTATGCATCCATGATGTCCACTTTCACATCCAAAGATCTGGAGTAAATGACAAAATGAAGGTTGAGGAAAGATTCTATAGTGAAATGAGGAAGGTCACGAAAACAGTTGAGTCAGAAAAGATCTTTAATAGGACACCAGTCCCTGGTCTTCTTTGGAATGACAAATAACCTGGAATAGAATCATCGAGAAGGATGACTAGCGAGCAAAAAATTCTGTGCATATAGAGGGCAGCAGAGGTAAGGTGTCATACCAGAAAAATCTGTTTTGTGTACAACAGACTTGTAATGTATACTAAAAGTTTGCCAAATTTCAGTTAGATACATGTACTAATTTGAGGGTTATAGTACAAATAGTTTCACAGTTCTTAGATTGGTGAAACTGACCATCCTCATTCTTTTTTACTGCTATAATCTGGTACCACTGACCTGACTTCAGCCTAATGGATGATACACTTATCCTCTATCATTCTAACTAGTTGACAGATTCATTGAAGAGTGGATTGACTCAAAGGTGTGTTCTGCACACTCACTAGGAATTATTTTATAGAAATGGTTTTGCTTTATTCTGAATATCCTTCAGTTGTTTTGAGCACTATGTTTTATTGTATATTTTAATTGCATCCAGCCAGTATTTTATCAACACAAAAAATATTATATTTAATGGTGCAATTTCAAACAAGATGAAGTATTTTACTGTAAACAGTAGTACTACACTGATCCACATATATAAAAAATCTCAAAAAGTGTATGTTAAAGCTTCTCAAGGTGCTTTTTTTTCCTAATATGTGGGATATAGCGAGAATTCCACCTTGAATAGGTGAAGGGATAGAAATAAGCATCCTTTGAAAGCATCCAAAGAATACCCTAAAAGTGGGATCCTCATAGTAAGGACCATACATGGGAGACCGCATCACTTCTGTACCAGATATATTCTATGCCATTGTGGAAAGAGGTGTCACAGACATTGTCAAAAATGGTTGGATAAGGATTTGAACCACCTTATATCAAAATCTCAATCCCTTCGAAGAAATCTCAGAGAAGTAAATCTCTAGAGACAGTAATGTGGGTGAGATTAAAAAGGATGTGCCCCAAGGTGTAGAGTGGCTAGGGCGTGATGAACCGTACTCAGCAAGTCAACTGCATCCAAAACCCAGACACCAGGAACCAACATCCCTGTGGGGGTAGGTTAACCCTTTTGAGACGGGTCACAGGTGAAAGGCCACGTCATCTCATTTGTTGACTCGCATTCAAAATTTTACTGAACTATTATTTCATGAATTTATGTCAATAACTTTGGTATCAAACTATAGATTATAATTTAAATTTCAGAACTATATATTACTCAATATGTTTATTTAAAAGTAAATATAAAAAAAACCAGATAAACATCGATTTTTGTGTGTCATGTGGTATGTTCAATCCTCTCTCAAAAGAGAGACAAAAAGGCTCAGTGTGAACCATAATGTCTGAAGAAGGTGGGGAAAAAATACTGTGAAATGTAACTAAAAGGGGCTGAGGTAGGCCTAGCAGACTCTGCAGTAGAGGCCTGGGAAGGCAAGTCATAATCAGATTAAAGAAAATTATCAAAATCTCCATCATTCCGAACAAGTTCGGCAGTTTTAGAAGGAAGAGGAGCAATATTGGCAAAAGAGCCCAACCCCAGGGATCCTCACAAGCTACGTTAATTGTTAGAAGTATAAAATATAAGTAATTATGTTATATTGTAAAATTAAGTAAGTATGTATTGACAATAAAAATGTATTAGATGATGTGTGTTGAATAAAACAATATATTTAACCTAATTTACAATTGACCAGTAAGATGAATTACAGGTAAGTCTAAAATAACAGACACTTGTTAAGCCTTATCTAACATTGTAGTACAAAGTATATCACTAAGTTCTAATTTAAAACCCTAACTTACAATAAGTATTTACAAATCTAACTAAACTTATGTTATTGAACTCAAATAACTACAAATGCTAATATTAATATCAAAAGATATTCAAAAATCTATAACAGTGTAACAGCTTATCTGTCCAAAGTCGGCAGACTGTATTCAAAATGTGAGGGCTCCCAAACTCGAGGCCTGACAAAGATCAACTCATATAACAATTAATCTCCCAACGAATTAAAGCTGACAATTATTCAGTCGAGTACCGCCACCTTAAACCTGTGTAATTGTGCTGGAAGTAAATGATATCACTTTAGAAGTGGAAACATAATCTTTGGTGAAAACCATAAAAAAGTTAAAACTGTTAAAGTATGAAAAAAAAAGAGAAAAATATTTCCACCTCGTATGAAATTTAAAAACAAAAATGTTGGAAAAGAGCACAAACAAAAAACATCTTGACGATAGCACTGCCAAACGAGCAGTGAAAGTTTGGTACACTTGAATAGAGGGAGTCACATGCGTCATAAGGATGCATCACACTCCTACTGGTGGAGGGTTGTCACATGATAATTTGCATGCAAAATGCAGTTGAACCACAATGACTGTGGTGAACATGGGAGTGCAAGGCTTGTGGTATGCAAAAAAACTTTTCTGCATATAGAGGGCAGCACTGAATGAGAATAACTATATCTGTGAGAGGAGGTAATGTGTCGTATTGGAATTAAATTTATGGAGTAAAAAATATACAGCTTATTGTATGCCACTGAAAAATGATGAAATTGATCTCCCAAAACTTTAAAGTTAAAATATTTTCATTTATCATCAAAGTGCAAACAATCCACTTCCAGCTTAGTGTTTCTGCCAAAAAACAGTTTGTTTGAAAAACCAGAAATTTGTCCATAAGTCAGTCATTACCATCCCTCCCTTAATACAAGAGCATGTATTGATCATCTAAATCAGCAGTTCCCAATATTTTCCTCTTCTCAAACCCCTCGAGTAATAATAATTTTTTGAGTAAACCCCTTTTAAACAGTAATAAATTTTGTAAAAAAAAATAACTTTTGAACATGTTGAATTTACTGAAAATAAAAAGTTTCTCTAACACATTTGCAGTTAGTACCCAGTAAAATTGAAATACAAATCTTGAAACATAATAAAAATATTGAAAACAAAGCCATTTAACTAAAACTAATGAGATTTCTGAGCTTGTTTTGAAGAACACAGTGCTTTAAAGTTCAGGTCAAGAGAAGAGACAGTCTTAAATCTGGTTCTGCATCAAGCTATTTTTTCCATAAATATTTTAATAATATAGAAAGATATTAAAATATTGGTAAGAACTATAGAACCAGAAAAGTTAGAGAGATCCCATTTCCAAATTTTTTCTCACAAACCCCTTAGAATTATCTCTCAAATCCCTAATGGTTTACAAACCACCGGTTGGGAAACGCTGATCTATACCAATACAATTTATCATAAATATTATAATTCAGGGCTCATGTTGATGCTTTTCAGTTTATAGATTTTTAATAAATTTTAATACCTTGTGATGAGATACCCTGTGAATAAAAGCATTAACATAAAATCTCACTTTACAAAATTAAAATACTAAGTTATGAAGGTAAATTTACAAACTCTTATTACAAAAGGAATTTAATGAATAAATATAATAATATAAGTATTTTAAAATCGAAAATGCAATGACAATAGTCATACCAGCAAACAATAAACTTCCTTTTGTTTAAAACATTCTAGCTTATCAATATTGGTGATATAATAAAACAGATAAACATAAACTGATAGATTTTGTAATAAAATGTTAAGTAAAATATATAAATAAAAGTTTGTGGTTAAGATAAAGAAATTAAAATATAAACATTTTGACATTTATTAAATAAAAATACATAACTGTACACTGCTCTGAGAATTTTTCAGTTACTTTTAAATAAGAGCCAAGCAGTGAATGCTTTAAACTTTCTTCATATTCCAAACAGCTATTCAATAACTTAATTCTTTAATAGTCACCTTGGTGAATGGCTAGTGAAATAGAAAGTTTGTTTAAACAACCCTTGTAATGTACATGGCTGTAATAAAGTTCAACTATAAACCACATCAGTAACATTGGGCTTAAATAAAAAATCTAAAAAATTTATTTCAACTTAATATAAAATCTATTACTTTTACATATGATGGTTATTATTTAATAAACAGTTCAATTCAGAGCAACATCTACATAGGTACAAACAGATGTGACACAAAAAATTAATGTAATATACTGCAATTACTTATATAGATGCAGGCAGATGAGAGGGGAAGTTACTGAAAATTTTATCAATGCATAATTTTTTATTGAAAATAAACAGTTTGTTATTGGAAAATCTACACAGAAACCTGACCTGGAATATAGTTTAATACAACAATGACTCTTTGTGAGACTTTAATGTACAGATCAAGTTCATAAAACATCACTGTGTCACTTACAATCATGACATAAAGAATAAAATGTTGTATACTGAATGTATATGTTTCAGTGGTACATGTCTAGCATGTGGAACAGTGGCAAAAGTCAACTTAACACTCCAGAGCAATCATTGTATGTTATTATCATAAATACAGTTATTTACAAGACTTATTTTATAGCTAGTAGGAATTTTAATATTTTTTAATATTTTGGTAAAGTACTATTGGTACCTTTGTATCTTAAAGCCAATATACCCACAATGATAATATGCCTTTGAATAGAAAAAAATAAATACTGATTGTTGTAAACCACCTATTTTCCTTACATGATCCAATAAAAACTGCAGAATGTTTAACTAAATTACATAAAATCATAAACATATTACAGAATTAAGCACAAGTAATTCATAAAAGTCTTAAATTATATAAAAATTTAGCTATACTCTTTGGAAAAGCAAAGCAAAAAATGGAATAAAATGTTTATGAATACTCACAAGCTATACCGTCGTAAGAAGGTCTTATAACACACTTTACAGGTAAATCTTCGTTTCCTAGAATGAATATGTCGGTGGTTTGCAAGGGAACGGGAGCTAGCAAACACTTTGTCACAATACACACAAACCTTTTTCCCAGAAAAAGTTGAAGATTTCACCCCTGAAGTTCTTAACTGCAGCTTAATTTTGTTAGGATTTAGGGACTTGTATTTAATACCTGAAAAATTTAGTCAATATTAAGGCAATCTTAACATATTGTTTTGGAGGAATTATCAGATAACCAGTACATGACGTAATATGTTTTCTTATTTATATATATATAAAAAAAAGTCAAATCTTAAAAAACAAAACAGGCTCATGTTAACTAGTACTATCAAATGGTTCTTTGAAACAAGATCATATTAACTCTCTCGCTACGGGTTCAGTCGATTCGATCTACAAATTGATTCCAAATGGACCTATGGAGTTTTCATACTATAACTTCTATGCTTCGTGCATCTCTCCAAAATTTACTAAGCCTTTAGTAAGCATTAGGAGTCATTAGCAGACAAAAAAAATCAGAATTTTTAGGTAAAGTATTTTCACTAAAAATTTCTCCCTGAATATATGGAACCAAAGTGTTGAATGCTCCAAAGGCTAAGTGGTTTTCATGTTAAGATTAAGAATACTTTTCTTCATTTGTAAAATCTCAAATTTCTTTAGCTCAATCTCTAAAACTTCCAAAATAAATTTCCAATTTTTGTTCAGTAACACTTTATTTTATCTGATATTTTCTCTACCCTAACTCTATACATGGTTGGTAAATTTGACCAACCTCATAACCATCAAGAAATAAAACTAAAATAAATCTAAATTAGCCTCTTTTTCTTTCTAGAATGAATTCAAATTGTAACATGAAGATATATTTGTTTATGCTAAATAGCTTTAACTCTTTCCACGAGTCAAAGGCCATGTCATCTCGTTTGTTGACTCGCATTCAAAATTTGATTGAACTACTATTTCATGAATTTATGTTAATAAGTCTGGTATCAAACTGTAGAATATCCTTCAAATTTTAGTATTATACATTATTCAATTTCATAACTTAAAAGTAAATATTAAAAAAACACAGTTAAACATTGATTTTTGTGTGTCACATGGTATGTTGAATGCAGCACTGCTTCAAATTAGATGTTTGTTATGTCAAAATACTAAGTCTATAGCTTCATACAGTACTGACAAGCTAGAATATAAAGTAAGAACCTCTTATCTTTTCTATTTGCTAAAATATCACTCATGTACTGAATCAAACACAGTGGCCCCCGCCCATCTCTTTCCCTTTTTGGAAACGCTCTCTTATATACACTTACTTCTATATGTGACATGAATAACCAATCGAAAGATCAGAATGTCCCCCTAGTGGCTTTCTCAGCTATTTTATATTGTTATGACACCATCTCGTTCTTTCAAACCAAATTTTCAAGTAAAAAGGTTGTGTCTTTAGTCTGCTCAAAATTTCATATTTTTTGAGACCAAAATACAGCTTAGTTACTAAGCTTGATAAATTATAGGAGAATTCTATGGTATTTATATAGTAATTTATGATTTTTTGGTTATTCAATTGTATATATAAAACCTAAAAAAACTTATTTCGTTTCATCTCCTCCACATGCAAAATTTAAAAAGACTTAGCAACCTAGTCAAGCAGCAACCAAGTACAAAGGTCATAACTAGAAGAGATAATTGTTTGCTTTACTTCTTTATTTACTGTTCTGAGTTTAAGAAAAACAAGTTTAAGAACTTATTTCTAAATAGCAAAAATCTATATACATATATAATGTATAATAATTGAAATGTGACTGTATTTTACAAAATAATAGTCTACTAAAACACAGCCAAGATGGGTCACTTTGTAAAGACTAAAGGTCAGTTTTATATTATTGGATACAGTAGCATGAGTGCACATGGGCCACGTCATTGTAACTTCTGTATTGTTAGCCAGGCATGGAAAAGACAATATAATAAAAATAATACATATATATATAAATGTATAATGTTATGAGATTTAAGCTATTTACTCTAAACATTTATGTTTTCGTGTTATATTTTGTAGTCATTCTAAAATGAAAAAAAGCATAATTTATATGTATTTCCTAATTTTTTAAAATATAGTTATGAGACTGGTCAAATCGACCAAACCCGTACAGAGATTCGTTACTGAAAATAACAAATGAAATATAAAGTTTTTTTCTTAAGAAATGTTTGATAACTACCTGGATATTATAAAGATTTTGCATGTGAACTTTGAAAATTTTCTGATGCACAAAAGTATTTTTAATCTTAAAATGAAAATTACTTTGCATGTTATACAGGCAACATGTGAAAAGAAAAAAAAAAGCACGAGAAAAACACTGAAAAACCTTAAGACTCAATAAAAAAATTGATATTTTCTGTATGAAAGCATTGTAATGTTTACTGATAATCTGCCAAATTTTGTTAACATACACTTGCTAATTTAAAAGTTACAACATGAAAACAAGCACAAAATGGTTATAAGGTCAGACCAAGGGACTGAGCCCATGCTGAAAGAGTTAAGCAGCTAAGAAAATAAAAACAATAAGCAGGATAGATATGAATTTTTCTTCATTAAAAATACTGCAAAGGGGACATACATACACAATAATTAATTAAAATGAAATTAAGTCTCAAAGTATACAAGTCCAACATTTTTTTTTATTTATTTTCCCAATTATTATACCACTAGCATTCATAAATCAGTTTCTTGTTTTTACTTTTGTCAATATAATTGGCAGAACTCCATGAAAACTATACTTTTTACTAATTACCTAAACATATATGTATATCATAGCAATTCCACCTCAAGTTCCACAAAGGGTAAAAAGGAATTTATATCCATTAGATTCATTAGACTAGGACTCGGTGGCCAAACATTCTAATGTATCAAATTAAACTTGAACAGTTTGACATAAACATTTATACTATATCTTTTCAGGGGTAATTCTTATTCAGGTTTGCTCAAAAGTCATGTTTTTTAAACCCTGAAATGAAACAATTCCATGTACCTTGAGGGAAAAATATACATTTTTTCTGTTGCTACTAAAGTATAGATTTCTATGAAAATACATGTATATGTACAGTCCCCCACATAAAGAAAGATCTATCTTTTAAAAGTGCTTGGAGTATAAGATTTCTTACTCTTGTCATTAATCGATTTTTTGACTCTATACATTTTCCTAAGATCATGAATACACGAACTGTTCATGGGAAACTTGTGTTCTTTTTATGAAGATTTATTACAGATACATTTTTTGCACATACATGCATGAAAGACATACAGGTTGTTTCTTTGTTTTAACGGCAAAACTAGTAAGGCTATCTGTGCCATCCCCAATTTTGAGCTGCCTACCATAAGGAAGCAACTAGTCAAAACACTCACCTCTGACCCTTAAGTTACTCTTTATTAATGAACAGTGAGATTGACCATCAAATTATAATGCCATAACAGTTGAACAGGCTTACCAACTGAGTTTAGACCCAACAACCTGCACGTTACGAGTCAAACACACTACCCACCTCATCATGCAATAAACAGATAAATAAAGCTAAGGTATAATTTACATTTTGGGGAGGGGGGGGGGGAGAGAGAAAGAATACAAAATCAAAACATTCAGTAGATGTTACTATGTGTAAACAGGCTCACAATAACAGTTACTTAGTTTTACATAACTCTACTCTAGATATTGGAATGTAAAAGTGAGTGTCATGTCCTTTTTTATAGAGTTACATTCAAAATTTAATTGAATTAATTTATTATCAATGTCAGTAAATTTTTCATCACAACGTAGTTAATAACTCAAATTTTGATATGTTTCAATTTCCTATATTCAAAAAAAGATATATTTATATAAATTCTCAATCTTGATTTCTTTATATCACACAACTTGTTCACTTAAAGTTTCCCCTATTAGATATTCTTTCCACCTAAGTTTAAGCTTTTGACTTTCAATAAAAATTACAAATATATAGTATTCATATTTTAAAGACAAAAACTCATTATATAGCCTTCAATAATCTTGATTTACAGAGATATAAACCAGAAAATCAAACTATATGCTATGCCCTCGTATCATATACTGTCTTTCAAAATATGTCAATAATTCTCTCTGATGTTTGCTAAAACATTATTTATAACCAATAGAAAGAATTATATAATGGGATAGTTCATTCTGATTATACTTTTTCAGCAGTTCAGCTATACAATAATTAATTAGAATTACAGTCTTAACTGTATACAAGTCCAAAATTGTTATTATTTACTAATTATTATACCACTAGCATCCATAAATCAGTTTCTTGTTTTTACTTTTGTTAATATACTTGGCAGAATGCCATGAAACCTTTACTTTTTACTAATTACCTAAATTTATATGAATATCATGTTAATCTTAACATGAAAATCAGACTAGTCAGAGTCTGAGTGACATTATGACTATAAATTTACAGAGAAACCTTTAGTAAAAACAAGTTAAAAACATGACTTTCTGTAATCTTTATTAAAAGCTTGCCAAATTTCATAAAGATACACTTACAGCATTGAAAGTTATAGTATATTAAGTTTCATTCTTACATGCTAGTTGAAAGGTCAGTCAAGATGACTGGACTTGTATATGTAGAGTTAATGGGTGAAAATTAAGGATTTACTAGACAACCCGTTGGTTCACCCATTATTCAGAGGTTATGAAGAATTCAAGCTGATTTCAATCTTGCACCAAAATGAAGGTTTATTTTGAGATAATTTAATTAAATATTTCAATCTACTCATGTTATTCATAATTCAAGAAAAGATATTTTTTTGTTGATCAGGAGTAAAAGTAAAGACCATTTCATTTTTCAAAAAAGTGAAGTTAGAATTTTCAGGTATTGTGAAAATTTGTACAATTGTATAATTAGTTCATTATGTTGTGGTCTTTCCTCTTAAACCTTCTAAAAATAAGAAACAGTAACACTTTATTTTTTCTTTGAATTACCTACTATAACCAAGGCACATTTTTGAGAAATTCTTCAAGATCTTGTTTTTGTCATCTTATGCCTTTTAATGAAGATGGGAACATTGACAGGGAAATAGGTTTGAACGAAAAAGTTTCGTGAAGAGCGCGAACTGTAGTGTGATGTAAAATTACTCATGCTAGAAATTTTCATAAAAGTGACCTGAAAAACGATGCTAACTCAGTAACCCATGGCCCGATGAAGTTTTGTAAAGAGCGCAAACGGTAGTGTAAATGATTTTTTGACTGAGAAAGTAAGCAAACAAACAATCTCAGAGTTTTAGTAGCATATACATATATTCTTCAAGATCTTGTTTTTGTCATCTTACGCCAGTGAAAATGGGAACAATGACAGGGAAATAATATAATAGCTAATGCTCGGCAAGAGATTTTCATTTATGAAATTTTGTTGTTGTTCTTGACTTGATTTTTATTTTATTACCTCGTCTCCATACTTACTATATGCAAGTAATCAATAATATTGTAGGTCTATTTTATTGTTGTTTTCAATGCACCATTATAACACATTTTCAACTCATCATTTAATTTCTGTTGTGTATATATTGTTGTATAGAAGATATTTTAAAGTGATTCATCAGGTGGAAAACAAATATAGATAGATAAACTGATATGTGGCACCATCTAGTGTACCTAAATTCATCTAGAAATTTTCATAAAAGTGACCCGAAAAACGGGGCTAACTCGGTAACCGTGGCTCGATTTTAACGAAACTTGTTTTATTCTGTTTCTATTCTCATTTCATTACAAATATGGCGCTATTGTGTGCCGTTGTTGCTATATTTAATTACAGACAAGCAAACAAACAATCTCAGAGTTTTAATAGTATATAGATAGAGAAATTTCCTTTAGTAAGGTGAAATTGAAATACTAAAATTACTAAAAAAAAATTGAAACATTTACATACCATTACACGTATATATACACCATAACTGCCTGAGGAAGTATATTATTGATTACTTAAAATACATTACACCTATCTTTTAAAACACAATCAAATTAGATTTCACGTAAGTTACTTACCTAACAGTTTTCTACCAGCACTGGTTCCACCTACACTTCCATTCTGAACTAAAGATTCACTACTAGGATTAATTGTCTGAAGTGAAGGATGGGTGTTGGAAAATGTTTTCAGGAGGTCCTCATAGCCTTTCCCATCATCTATTAAACTAGACGTTGTGTTTGTGGTAGAATCTGGTAAAATACTTTCTTCTTCACAGGCATTCTTTTCAGAAACAAGAAACTCACCTACACCTGTTTGCAAAGATGTAGTTTTTGTAAAAAAATGAGACATACCATAGTATCTACCTTGACATCATACAACACTCAAAGTGCTCCCTTCTTTTTTGTTATACTTTTCTCCAAGTAAAAACTATATTTTTTTTTTTTTATGTTTTACTAATTAATATTCATGTTTCTGATTAATTTTATGTCCGCTTAACTTCAAACTGTATTTACTGACAAGCACATTCAAGTTTTAAGTAGTAGTTATAGTGGGATAGTATGCACTGATATTCATATCATTTAGAAAAAAATTGTTGTGTGACACACTGGCAAAAACAATAAATACAAAAGAAGAAAACAATAATGTTATAATGCTGCAAACACTCTACCCACACCTCTTTGACTTATCATCAAATATATTTGGCTTTACTGTCTCTGCAATTATAGAGCAAGTATATTGTTTCAACTCAGGTAACTGTCCTTATTCTCTGGAAACACCAATTGATACAGACACACAAACATGTGCATCTCAGAAACACCAATCATTATAAGCACACAACTATGTGCATATCATAAACACCAATTATTATATGCACACATACACACAAATATGTGCATCTCAGAAACACCAATAAATACACACACACAAATATGTGCATCTCAAAAACACCAATAAATACACACACACAAATATGTGCATCTCAACACTTTTTCAAACCAAACAATGTGGTACTGCATTTATTTATTTATTGCTTTTGAACACATTTACATATGTTTTCTTTGCTTGACCACTGCTTAAAAATTGCCAAGGTATATTTATTGATACTACCACAACAGTCATGTAATGTTTTATTCAAGTTTTCAGTTGTTGCATTGAAAAAATATAATATAAAACACCTAAAACTACACAAATTATTACCGAAATTATCTTTACAAAAATGGTTAAAGAATAACATGTCCAAGCTCTCTTGTATAATCCTTATGGTTCTCAATGTGCTTATGATGAAATTGTAATTAAGATATAATCATTTTAAGTATGATTGTTGTTTTTTTTAAACTTGTATATTTAACTACTGACCAATGTTCTTAAGTACACTTACATAAGGGCAAATACTCAAATGTACAGAAATCTACAAATAAACAATGCATATGTTCTGTTTTAAATAAGACTAAAAGACCCCCTCCATCACGTAAAGTTGCTTTACATCCAGTGAGTCACCACACAGCACTAGTACAATACCTTGTTTATAGTCTTATACTGTATTCTTTCTTTAATGTTACTTTTATAAACAACATTGGTTAGAACATTTAATATATCTAATTTTGTTATCTGTTATTATCATATATTTTTATTATAAAGATTATTTTGCATTGTAAGGTTAGTATATTGACTTAGGACTAACCTAAATCACCTAAGCTGGACGAATGTCATGACATATTACTGAATTTATGTCCGAAACTATTGGTAACAGCAAAAATACCCAAAAGATGAAATAATGCATTGTACTCATTTTAAGTAAGAACAGTACATTAAGTTAGCTATATTCATTACTAGGTTGACTTTCAGTTGTGATCTACATAGATAGCTTCCTATAATCGAAATTAATATTAATTACATACATTTAAAATATTAATAAGCATATTTACAACTAAATACTCAAAAAGCATTTAAGCTCTTAAAATTATTATAAAACTGAATTTTTGGTCCACAAAAATTATAGATCATTCTATTTTGACTCAATATAAAAAAAAACAAAAGACTTGGATCATGATACCCCAGTTTCTTTAATTTTATTTCAGCTCATAGAACTTTATGTACAAGTTAACTGTAACAAAGACCCCAATAAATCAAACACTGTATACATACTGTCCTTCTCAAGGTGTGTTCATGCAATCACAAACAGGATACTTTGAAGGAGTTTCATAATTACTAATTTTCCAATCTTGAGATATATGTAAATATGTCACCAAATCCTAAATATTGGTATCATACTGTCTGTTGTATGTTTAAAAAATAAAAACTTTATTAATCATCTGAACCATTAAAGAGTGATCTTTTGACACATTTTCCATCTCAGAAATAAAATCAAAGTAATGAAGAATTACATTTACAATAATGTACCTTATATTAATACCTGAATTTTAAAGACTTTTGTATGATAAAAGCAGAAAAAACTGATTTATTTAAAAATTTTCAAATTCTTATGTAGGCAATATAATATTTTTCTCATAAGGTTTTTTTAACTTTGTGTATTTGTTCTGCTGAATTTCATGCAAAACTACATGAGAACTATCTGCACTAGCATTCCATAACTTTTAAAACCAGCTAATTAACACCAACAACTTCAGGCTACTTCTGTCAGATTGAATAGAGATATATAATCATCACTTTTATAATGTATTTATGGTCCCAAAGTGTGAATGTCAACATTTTCCTAGACTAAAAATATATTTCCGATAGATACTTACCTCCCCTCACATAATAACTTTCCTCAGCTGACCTCTATATGCACAATGTTTGCTCAACATTAGCCTTGAGGTTCCCACCTAGCATCACAGTTTACATGTGGTATAGCTGCATTGTAGCATGCAAACGAGCATGCAACAACCCTCCATCAAAAGGAGTGTGACACACCCACTAGCGCAGCTGACTCCCTCTGTACTGTAGAGCACAATAAGCACTTTGAGATTAGGCAAATAAAAATATGAACCAGAAGTGTGGGGGGGGGTGAGTAGGATGTGTGAAAGGAGGTAAGTATCTATTGGAAATATATTTACAGTGTAGGAATATGTTAACTTCCGATGCAATATCTTACCTTCCGCTCATATAATAGCAAGAGGTTGAGGGACCAGTGCAAAAGTTACTTAAATGAACAGTCTTCAGAAGATGCCTAAAGATAACCCCTTTGTAAAGATAAGTGTTGTGAAACTGGGTGGAAACGACACAATTTTAATCAGTAATAGGATGCACCAGATGGTGTAGAGTGGCAAGGGCACTTCAGAATGTAATCAGTAGGTCATCTCCAGTCCAAAACCAGGTAGCACAGGGTATCTGTCATCTGGTCCAAGGTAGGAGGAAAATCCCAACTGTCTTCACCCCAAGCCCATGAAGCAGAAGGGAAAAGCAACTTCCATTCCAACAACCTAGCCAAGGCACATGTGCAGACCCAGTACACAGCCAACACATGGCCACCCAGAAATCTGACATCCAGGCAACAATAGGAAAGGGGAATTCAAACGTGGTGGGCTAACTCCAGTACAAAACCAAGCAGCATAGGAAATTTTTCAACTGGTCTGCTTTATAAGGAGAGCCCCTCCCAACAATATATGTGAGGACTTATGTTAGCTGGTCCTACACCAATCCAACACCAGACCGCCCAGGAACCAACATTCAGGCAGAGATAGGATGGAGAAAAGCCAGATGGAGGGGTGAACTGCACATGGTGTCCAGTCCAAAACTAGTGACATCAGGAATTTCTCTTCTGGTCCATAGTAGGAGGATAGTACTCACCATCTACACCAACACCCTACTCTCGACTGAGTGGAAGTGGTTACACTCAGGAAGAAGCCTCCATGGTCCACCACCCAACAGCTAAGAACTAATAAGTGGCAAAGACTTCTGTACTCCAGGTGGGAAGTCCAGAGGAACACAACACCATAAGACAGTGCAATAGGTGTTCACAAAAACCCAAATTTACAAAAACAGGCCATTCCCAGTTTATTCAACTAAGATTGGAGGGATGGCAGCAAAGATAAAGGGAACCACAACAAGGAGAAATAGGGTATTGAGAAGAGTAGCAAAAACACTTAGAAGAAGAGTGTCCAGATGAGAGTACAGCAACTTGAACACCAGAGGAATGAGGGACCAATCTATAGGTAGTATCTTAGCAGGCCTCAAGAAATGATCCACAACACGATTCAGTGCACCCAGAATACAACAAGCTATTTGACGTACTTGTATAGAATGGGCTCAGAAAAAGAGATAGATAGTGTGGAAACAGAGAGATCAAGACAAAATGTTCCCCCTGGTGATTGATAAATGAGAAAACTGCAGAGTTAACTGTATCATCAAGATACATCAATGAATCATTCTAAAAAAATCCTAAATTCAATGTACCACCAAAAATTCTAAGAGATGGATTATACGGGATGATTTGTTGTGGTACCAATGGCCCATGTGAGAGTTGAAACATGTCCCCCGTCTCTTCAAGGAAAGATAATAAGACCCAGATGAGACAAAGAGAAATATCCACTATGGGAGTAGTTTTATGAAGTTACCAGGTGAAGTATTTGAGTAAGGAAGGAGAACTGTTGAAGACAAGGGATCCTAAGCAAGGAGCTAGACTACATGCAGTCTATTCCAGACATTGCAAATGAGCATGACCCAAGGGGATAGAGACAGAACCTCCCACACAGTGTGGGATGGAGAATATATGGCATGGGACACCAATTGTTCCATGTCCCTCAAAAGAAGAGGTGAAAGCTAAACCCTGCAAATATATGAACAAAAAAAACACTTGAATGAGAAACAAAACGAGTGTGTGATGCGACTCCTTTAAGCTGAACCAACCAACCCAGACATTCCACTTCCCAAAAGAGGAGAAATAGGTGGCTGTAGGAGGCTTGTTGGGAATTAGCCAAATGAGAAAAGAAGCATGTGAGATGTCCACCTCGGGCATCCCAAGGCCTGGAGTGAAAGGACACGGTTAGAGTGAGAAATTCACCATGCGAAAGCAAAGGAAGATGAAAAAACTACTGAGACATGAAAGATGTAAGACTCGATACCTATCTATGGTTTCCCTGAGAACCACAAAAAAATGGGGAAAAAAACCTGGAAAGGATGAGAAACCCATCCAATAGTGATTAGAGCCATTAGGACCAACATTGCCAAGAAACAAGATCCCTTAGAAGATGTAAAATAATGGGAACAGGAAACATTAGAAGAGGAGAGGAAAAAACAAGGGTTAAGGCTCTGACAGAAATCCCAGTACTCGCCAATTGGCTGCAAAAGGAGGGCAAATATCCATAAACCCAATTAAACAGGCCATACTGACCCTGAGCCTATAGAACAGTCACTGCCAAGATTGACAGCACCGAAGTCTACAAGTGGTGCAAGGATAGATGGGAAGTGGTGACAGAGAGAAGAGAAAGCAGAATGACAGGAGACAGAGAGGCAAAGAAAGAGCACAGGAGAGATGGTAAACCAGTGAGGATAAGGCATAATATTGGCATGCAGCCCATCAAATGACACGAGAGATATAAGTATATCAGTAAAATAATACAGGCAGATGAAAGAAGCCAGAAGAAGGTATGCGAGATATTATGAGAGGCAAAAGCAACTGAATAACAAATGCATCACACCCCCAACCAACTCTAGCAAAACATCAACCAAATAAGAAGTTAAAATGCCAAGGAAGGTATATACACTGCTGTAGAAAAGGTAAGTGAATGAGCATCCAACGAATTCCCCACAGGGAAATGGTAGATTACCATGAAATGAAGGTTAAAGAACAAAAAATAACAGAAAAGGGTAATGGTGTAAGACAATGGTAGGAATACCTAAGCCTAAGAAAGATGAACAAAAGACAGAGGATCTGACCCCCAAATCTGAAGAAAACATAAGAGTTTAGGAGTAAAAAAAAGCAAGACAGCACAAGTCACACCTAGTTATATGAGGTAACAAAGGAAAGAGGATAAGGCATGTATGTTTCAAATTAGTGGTAAAAATAACTGAATATGTAAAAAACATACCTGAGAAACCTAGTAATGACTGAGGTAGAACCAAAACAATATGGGTACGAGGCAAAGGTAGATGAGAAAAACCCAGCACACTCCTATTAATGAAGAGTTATCACATGCTCATTTGCAAGCTAAAATGCAGCTGTACCATGTGTAAACACAAGATTCTAGATGGGAGCTTCAAGGTTAGTGGGGAGTGAAAATTGCACATACAGAAGACAGCACAGATTGACGAAAGCTATTATGTGAGTGGAGGTAAGGTATCATATCGGAAGTACATTTTTATTGGGTAGTAACAGAAAGTAAAACACAGAACCTCATGTACGTGTTTTATTTCTCTAACTGCAAGTTCTGCAAATAAAATTTGTTTCACATAATTAAAGATAATAATAGACTTAACTTCACAAATAAGCAATGCCCCAATTGAGATTTCACTTATTAATTTTCTCATATCTGCATTGTCAGATATAAAAGACTGTTTAGTGTACATAGTATTATCAATTTATTTATTTTGTGTTTGTAATTCATTGATGTTGAGGCTACTGAATGTTGTGTCCAATCTATTGATGTTCGAGGCTGTAGAGATTTCTAGAAGGCCTAAGTGATAGATATATATAAATAGCTACAACCAGACAAGCAGAACAATGAGAGAGTTAAAGTCACGGGAAATAGAAATTCAGTGAGAGAAAAGTTTGAAAACGCAAAGTTAACCATCGTAGGAGTGAAAGGCCTAATGGTTGATATGTAAGAATGAGATTAATAGTTTGAAAGAGATAAGGATAATAATTTGTCATGTCAAAGAGTGATCTAAGCTAATTGAACCTGTCAGTGTGGACTTGAAAAAAAAAGCAGATGATTATTGGAAGTACAGGATACAAATGCAGTAACTCACGTGACAGAGTAAGTGAATTATATACGGATACCAGTGAGATAAAAATAGAGAAAAATAGTTCAGCTTGTCAATGGAATTCTAAAGCAATTAAATTGGCCTAAGTGGACTTTTGACAAGAAGAAGAGAACTGTATAGTGTTTAAGATATGATTATGATTTCTATGGTGTAAAGAATTTTGTATATACATTCAACTTGTTTCTAATATATATATATATATATTGTTTTAAAAACAAGTGGAGTGCATACTGTTCGTTTATTGTCAAATTTATCGCCAACAAGTCACAGACACCTGCTGTGGAAGACTCCTTAACCCAACACACCCATATACTTACATTAATTAATATATATATATTATTAAAAAGTAAGTTCTTGACATACAGTTCTTTTTATATAACTCCAACTCAAAATTCGCACCACTGAACTAACTAACTGACTTACTCAATCAATCAACAAACTACCCTGCATTTTTATACATTCAAATCATTTCTAAACTATTAAGAAAATTCTATTAATTAAACCCAAAATTCATTGTGTGACATCAACACTCCCTCTGGTGAAACAAAATTTCAAACAAGTTAAAAAATCATAGTCGAAAACACTGTCATTTATTTATGCATGCTTTGTATGAATTTTAGCTCTTCACATATCACGTTTTAATTTGCTCATTTTGTTTCAGGCATTGCATCTACAAACTAATAGTTATTGGAAAAAAAATATTTGAGCTATCTCATTATGTATAGTTTTTCATACATTTCGTTTAGCCAAGCAATTTTGTTAATAATATTAAAAGCCAATTTCAATGAATGCAAAACACAGCTATGTTATCCCTTTACTATATGGCATGTGTGCTATAACATATGGACAATAAAGGACCATTTGTTCCTTCAAGGCTACCCTTGCATATCTATCCTCAAGAAAAGTAAAAACCTAAACCCAACCTTTATTTTTTTTTCAGGAAATCGTCAACTCCTCTCTTAAACACTAATGAAGTACTGGACTCCACTGCTATCAACAGCAACTGATTTCACAAGCCAATTACCCTTTTCGAAAAATAAAACTGTCATAACTGGAGCTTAGTCTATATTTTCCAAATCTTTGTGTTTTCTTGTACTTCTGTTTTTAGAATACAGAGAAAATAAGTTAAGAGATCTTAACCTATCCCTATAGGATAATTCTTTGATCCCAGTAATCATCCTAGTAGCCTCCTCTCAACTTTCCAATAATTCAATATCCTTTCTTAGAAAAAGAGGCCAAAACTGTACACAGTATTCCAAGTGAGGGCTAACTAGAATAAAATCCCTTTTCACTTGTGTTAAAGTATTTATAAATACACCCAAAAATTCCATTAGCTTTACTGCTAGAAACAAAGTACTGCCTTGATGGTTTCAGTGATTTATCCACCACTATGCCAATATAATTATATTCAATCATAGAATGCAAGACACAATGATACATACAAAAATATGTTCCTAGACGATGCTGAATGTGATTTCAACTGTGGGTAAAAGATTACTGTAGACTACATACATGATGACACTACATTTTTTTTAAAGTAATAGGTTTATAGTTTAGAGTATTATCAGTTCCGCACATCTTTATTAACATTTCCATTTATTTTCATTCAAGTACCCTCATGTGACTTAACAATTTAAAGAAGGTGTACAACACAAAAACAATTTTTTGTTTCCTAACCACAAAAATAAATTTTTACATATTCAGGATTATTTTCACCTCACATTATATTAATTACTGATGTCAAAATCTACCCTTTGCTGAAGAGAGAAAGAAACAAAGGCATTCAAAAATTAACTTTCTTGTCATTACCCAGAAAACAGCTAAATGATCAGGATACTGCTTATGAAAACATGGTTCAACCAAAAGTAAGAAATTTTAAAGAATAATTAAAAATAATTCATTAATGACTGTGTATCTTTTATTTTCAGTTTGTTAGAACAGACATTAAAAATGCATTTATGATGTGCAGTAATACTTGGTAACAAAATACTATCCTAGTTATATGTACCTTGCATCTTTAAGAGCCACCATTCCAGTCATTAGCTATAAACCAGCTGCCACAAACCACCATTCCTTCAGTGCTGTGTTTGACAATATTCCCCTCAAAAAATGACATTAGCTGCAACTGTGAGAATAAAGGGAATATGTAGATATCAATAAATATACATAAATTAATATATCTTTCTCTTTCCATGCAACTTTTTAAGACTTCAAAAATTATGTAAATTAAGTGTATCAAAACATTATCATTGAAAAGCAGGTCCTCACAAATGAAACATATTGTAATTAACTTCAATTAATAATAATTATGTAAAAGCTATTTACATAAAATCAAAATGTGTATAAGTTAGTTTTTAAGTTTCTGTTTCTGGTCATTGTTACGATGTTGAGACTAGTCTGGAATGAAAGAGATGTCTCTTTAACATTATCGAACTCCTTTTTATCTTTTGTTATGAGAGCCTACATTATAGTCTATACTATACATTTGTAATTATATAATGTATAGCGTTGTGTTACTAATATTATTCACATAGGCTTAACAGCACCAACGTTCAACAATGATATTGATAATTGAATAAAATTTTAACGCTGCCAACAAATCCAACGCATTTTTTATTATATTTACACAAAATAACGGGAAAAGGCTGATGAAAAAGAATTAATGAAATATATTTTATTATATATGAAACTATAACTTATTAATAAATGTATCCTCTAAAAGCAAAACCAAAAGTAATAAACTAATTCAGCAACTGATGTTTTATCTCTAATTAAATAACTTTTATGTCCTACAGTATACATACGGTTACAAGAACAGTATGACAGAAAAAAAATCCGGAATTAGCTCGACAAACCTACGAATCAAACATGAATAGAAGTCACTTTGCGTTTGTCCATGAAACATTAATACACAATCCCATCGCAGAAAAAATCACCCGTCATCCCCTTTAACATTTGTTGAACCAATAGGACTACTATCCCGTTTCTGCAATAATCTTCGATTCTGTTACAACTGATAACAACGCCCTCACCTTGGTCTTCGTACAAACAATGTACAGCATTTTTGACTTAGTCTGCATTTATTTATTATTTTTGCCCCCCCCCCCAAGTGGTTCAGTAGTAAGTCTTATAACGATAAAAATTGGGTTTCGATATCCGTGGTGGGCACAGCGCAGATAGCCCATCATGTAGCTTTGAGCTTAATTATTAACAAACAAATTATTTATTGAGATGAATTAATAAACAAAAATGATTCATCGAGATCACACAAACCATAATTTGTTAGAGTTCAAATTCAACTAACTTGTAAACTTCACAGCTCTTAAAGCATTTTTTTCTTATTTTAGTATTAACAATTGGAATAACCAAAGGTTTAATATCCAGAATCATTTCAATTTAAAAATGTGACTAACTTGGTTAATTGTGTTAACAAGCGCGTCAGCATTAAATATTGTTACGTCTCTGTTTGTTTGTTAAATTCCCGGTATAAATTCTCCCCGAGGAACTTCAGCGATAAAAGTCCTTTTTTAAATAAAACTAGTTTATTATTTCTCGATACAACTTTATAATACACAGAATTTATACAGTCACTTTAACTTAAACAC